CATCTCAGCTAAAGCCAGCTCCAAACTGACTGGGCAGTTTCTGTGTTTCCTCAGTGATTGTCTCCATGTGGTGGAGCCCATGCCTGTCCCTGGACCTGATGTAGAAGCTTATTGTTTACGTTGTGAGTGCAAATATGAGGAGAGAAGCTCAGTCACAATTAAGGTAAGCAGTGAAATTCTGTTGGCATGTATCAAAGACTTCAGCTGTTTAGTAAATATGTCTATTGTCTTTTAGAGAAATGCTGTTTTTAAAGGGAAAACTGTTCTAAGGCAGCCTAAAATGTAACTTTTTTGTAGTAGCTGTTTACAATCTTGAGCAGTAACAATAGCATCAAACCTTAGCTGAAGAAGAGACCCTTTATTGAAAACTCCACTTTTGAGATCAGACTTTACATCTTGCTGAAATTCTGAGTATTTTAAGACATTTGGTCAAGCTTTGTGCTTTGTTTTCCTTATTATTTCAGAGGACCTCTCATTACACAGCTGCCTTACTTTCTTACTGTAATTTTTCTTTATCTGTATTTATACTAACAGATGTTTTCTGTGCTCTTCACATTCTTGTCCCATTGGAGCCATTGAGGCCTGGACTGCTGTGAATAGACTGCAGAATGTCTTTTGGTTTTTGACAACACAGATGAGTTTGTTTTGGGATTTTAGAAGTTTGGTGTTTTGTTTTGCTTGGTGACTGAATTCAGGTCTGTGCTATACAAAGGGAGATCAGTGGGGGATACCCCAGATTTGTCACTTGTTTAATGGCCAGGCTGGACAGTTGTCCTGGTGGAAGTGAGAGTTATAACACTGAATTGTTTACAAAGGCATAGCCTAAGATTCTTTGCAAGGTCTCACTGTTTCAAGCTGCCCTAAACCCTTCTAATACCATGTTGTAGTCTTTTCTTTCTGGGCTTTAAATCTTCTGGTGACTCTACCAAAGATCCAACTTTGCCTGTACTCATCTTATGGTCCTTGCTGCTTGTTGTGAGAGTGGGGGGAAAAGTCACAATCTTGGCATAAACTGTGCTTGCTTATGTAGGTGACAATCATCATATACCTGTCCATTTTGGGCCTGCTTCTTCTGTACATGGTGTACCTTACCCTGGTGGAGCCCATCCTGAAGAGGCGCCTCTTTGGACACTCACAGCTCATACAAAGTGATGAAGACATTGGGGTGAGTCCACCAGAGTCTTTGTGCACTTGGTTAGAGTGAAAATTGGGGTGGTTGGTTGATAATTAACTATTTGGCATGAGCAGCTTTTTTTGCCAGGCAGTGTAGATGCTTTTCCTGCTGGGAGAGGAAAAGAAAGGTGTGTGGTGACTCCTGTGAAGCCACTCTTTCATTTTTCACTGGGCTGGAAAGCAGTGAGAGCTGCTTCAGTTATGCCAGCTCTAGGCACAGGTTATTCTCACAGAGAAGAGACAGTGTAAGAATAGAGGTGAGAATATACAGCAGTACAGCTTTTTAGGAGTTAATGATCCAGTCTTGCCAGGCATCATGTTTATGGGAAGTGTTTACTGTTTAGATTGCTCTCTACAAAAAGAAAGTTGTGGGGCTTGCATCTTCTGTTGTTCCAGTTTGAGTTTCTTGATGATAAAGCTTCAAGAAGAAATTGTTATAATGAAGCAGAATAATAATGGATGATGAAATAATTTCTTAGTATTACAGTCAGAAATCAGAATGTGGCAGTAAATTCCAACAGGTCAGAAGAGCTTTTTTTGGGAGAAGAACGGGAGCAGTCCAGTAGTGACAGGATTTTCTGTCATTAATGCCCTTTCCAGTCGCTAGCACTGGGTAACAATCACATATTTTTGTTATGAAATCATGGTACATAAAGCATAGCTGATAAAAGGTATTATCTAGGAAAATCCTGAATTTTGAGTACTTGATTATCCCCTTAGCAAACAGAAACACCTTTTTAAGTGAAGATGGTTGATGATTGTCCCACTACTTCCCTGTGTATTACATGTAGACATGTTTCAACTGTCTTTATAATGACAAAATAAGATTTTCCCAGTCACCTCTAGGAGAATTTTGGGTTGAGTGTTTGTTGGTTTGTGGTTTTTTTGTTTGTTTGTTTTTTGGAAGGAAGTATTTGAATGGCTCTTCCTCTGTGTGCGTTCTTATAGCAAATTGGGCAGCTCCTTCTTGAATTAAGTGAGCTTGTGCTGTATGCTAGATCTCAAACAAATTTTTAGCTTAGATAAATTATCTTAATGCCTCCATGTGTGAGTTAGTCTTTTGACTGTAGGTGGAAGAAGTGAAATAAGTCCCATGGCAGAGTTCAGGTTAACTGCAGAATGAATTTACCTCAAAGTCTGGGTCCATCTTAACCAATGTTATGTTTTGCTGTAGCTGTTCTGTGAACATAACATAATTTAAGGTCCCTTATGAATTATCCCCATTCTTGCCTTCCCTCTTGCAAGCTCTTGAGATATTCTTGTGGCACTTCAAAAATACCATATCCATGGATTTTGTGGCTGAATTTCAAGGCACTGTGTTCACTCTGTTGTTGCCCATTGGTGGCAGTGGCAGATGATGAGTGTAAGCCACTTCTGCAGTCCTCTTTCCTCTTAAACTCTTTTCCCCCCGTATTGTCTATGTAGAAATTGACAGTATCTGGCCTTGGAGCTGAGAATGTTGTTTGTCAGGAAGGCCAGTACCAGTATCAGTATCTAGACTGTCCTGTGTTCCCCACCATGTGTTTTACAGCAGCAAACCATGTGTTGCTATTATGACTTTTTTCCCCTGTGAATGAAGTGATCTCTCTCCTGTTAAATGCCATTCTAGGTACATGCAAATTTTTTTGGTCAGGGCTTGTCTGTTGTTCTCTATGGGAATAGTTTTTAATGCTCATTGTGGCTTTAGGACTCAGAGTAATCATTTCAATAGGTGTCATTAATAATAATCTGTGTACAGCTTACAGTTGTCATTAAGCTGCTCTGCACAGTCATATCAAAAAGTATCCATTAATAGGAATGTCTTCAAAAGTGTTCTGGAAAAAAAAGGATGTGAAATGTAGGGATACAAAAAGACAGTTATTTAATATAGGACAGTTATTTAACATAGTTATCTATGTTATTTTTCATTATTTGTATGATGCTTTCTGATGTAGCTTTAGCAGCATAATTTTGTCCAAACAGTTTAATAGCCAAATAAGAAGTTCAGTTCCAACTCTTACTGTGTAAAACTTGGCTATATTTGCTAGCAGAAAATAAAGCCTTGCAGGTACTGTTAGAAAACAGAGTAAACATTAGACAAGCACTTGGTCCTCACTGAGCTGTGTCACTTAAACAGCTGTATTGACACTGTGCTTTCAGACAGCTCATCACAATAGGCTTAGTTTGGTAAACACCAGGGTGTGTTGGTTTGATATAGAAGCTGTGTGTGAACATCCTGAACTGCCTGGCAGGTATGCCAGGAGCTGGCAGGGTACTGACCCCAATTCAGTTGTGGATTCACCACAGCCATGGGTCTGCTCTGGGCTGCAAATGGATGCAAGACTGCTGTGATCCTGGGCAGCAGCTAATTGACAGTGCAGTGAAGTTTGGGAAATCTGGATGTTCCTGCCAATGAGAAATCGAAGTACGGTTCCAACAATTCAAAAACCTGCTTGGTCATCGTTACTGGCCAGCTTGTTGGGACATCTCCTTTACCTTAAAGACAGACAAACCCAGCCAGCCCCCAGGTGCTGTGGAGTGTAGCAGCCCAGCAGGGCTGGAAGCTGCAGCAGTGACAGTGGCTCTCTCTTTGCCCTCGCAGGACCAGCAGCCCTTCGCCAACGCGCACGACGTGCTGGCGCGCTCGCGCAGCCGCGCCAACGTGCTCAACAAGGTGGAGTACGCGCAGCAGCGCTGGAAGCTGCAGGTGCAGGAGCAGCGCAAGTCCGTCTTTGACCGGCACGTGGTGCTCAGCTAAGGGGGCTCAGGGAGGAGCTCCAGGCGTGTGGACTAGTGCAAAGAGCTGACAGAAGTCTTCCTGATCCTGCCAATTCAGAAGGGTTTTCTTGAATGATTTGTTATTGATTTAAAAACAAAACAAATTAAAGTAGTATTTGAGCTACGAAGGGATGTACTGGAATGGAAGGAGTTTAAACAGATTAGTTAACCAAAAGCTTAAATCTTTGTTTTCAAATGGCTTTTACTAACAAAAACAGAAAACAAACCCTAGGATACCTTGGGTTGCCACTGTGGTACATTCTTTACAGTTGTGACTTTATGGTGGTTTTTAACTATATATTTCTCTTTACTATTTATGTGGTTAAAAAGTACCTGAGAACACAGTAATAACTTACAACTCACTAATCACTTTATGTAAAGACCTTTTGTAAATATGTTTGGATTTTTTGCTGATTGATGCTAGGTATTGGAAGTCAAAGTCTTGCAGTGTAGTTTTGGCCTCAGAGAATGAAACCCTGCTGGCTGTGTTCATTTGGTTTCTTGCACTCATACTTTCAAGATGCTTGTATGGCAAGTGATGTCTGCAGACTTAAAGCAAAACATAAGTGGACACTGACTCCTGGAGCTGCATATTTCAAGTACTGTGATGTAGATAAATTCAAATGCAGTGCACATTCAAGACAGTGTTGATGTTTTGTTCTATTTTGCTTTAACAGCTTAATATATTGTAGGTGTATGATAGCTCTTATAAAATCTTTTCCCTTTCTTTTCATGGAAGAAGTCTCAGGAGTAAGTATATGATGAAATATTTATTATAAAAATCTTCCTGCATTTGTCTGGATTGATGGTGTAAGGCACATAATTTCTCTAGCACCTGTCATCTTGGGAGTTAGGTGTATTTTTTTATCTGTGACTCTGTGTTCAGCTCTCTTCAGAGGTTATACAGTTGCTGGATGACTAACTTTCATATATCCCCTTTGGAATGTAACAATTAAAGATAAAACTGATTTTTGAAAAATGGATCTGCGTTATCAGTTTGTCATCATTTTTCTCCCTCATTATGCTGCATGTAAATTCCATCTATAAAAGTGCTCCTCTAAACACGCTTCAGAGTAGAAATGTGTGCTTGTTCAGTGATTAGGTAAAGAAAGGCTCATCAAATTGTTAATTGAAAAAAGTTTTTAATCCCTGACTCAGATGTAGCTTGCATATGTAGTTGCATTATTGTGTGACAGTTTTCAGTTCAATGTGGGAGGTGGTCCATGGAAGAATACTCTGTTTTTGGGGATAGTTTTGGCTTGCTTACTCCATGTCTGGGGGACAGCCAGGTACACAGCTTTGTTTGCATGCCAGTCCTGTAGACTTCCAAAACTGAGTTAACCTGGAGTCATTTAAAGCAGGTGGTGAATTGGTGGATTTACAGGATTCTTGCTTTAAATTGAAAAAAAAATACTGCATGAGGATTGACAGGTCAAAAAAATATTCATGCTTGGGTTCAGTTTTTATGTTGAACGTGGCCCCAGTGAGTGGGAGCTTGTTCAGTTGGTGCGCTTTGGTTACTGATTGTGACACTTGGGGTCTACTAAAGAAAGAGAATGCAACTTGTTTGTGGAATACATGCCTTGATTGTTGAATCTCTCCCTGTCTCCCAGTCCTGGGAGTTGTTCTATCTCTTGGCTGCCTTTCTTGTGAGGCCTGAAGCTGGTGTGGGAGGGGGGAAGTTGGATACAGCACTGTGGCTCACACAGGGGCAGCAGAAGGTGAAGTTCTCTTGATTGGTGACAGTCACAAGAAGCAGGACTGAGTGTATGTCCATCTTTTCCTAGTAAAAGTATTTCTGTCTTACAATTTTAAGCTAAAGTGGTTTGAGTTTGGATTTTTGTGCGTGGTTATGATTTGATTGATAGAAAGGCCAAACCATGAGATAGTCCTAAGTGTCAATCCTGTAAAATGGGGAATTTTGAAGATTGGTGTCCTATTTTGTTGCACCTGTACAATTGGGCAGGTATACTGATATATGTAGCACCTAAGTATGTGTATACATTGCATTATAGATTCTGTACTGTTTCTCTTTTTAAGAAAAACTTGTGTTGATGCTGTTGGCTCACTCAAATCTTCTTATATATATTCACCTTTTATATGGTGTTACTCAACACTAAAAGAATTTCCCAAAATTACAGGTATAGTGATTAAATTTAAAGGCATTAAGCTGGCTAATAATGTGTCCTCACCTGTAGTGGAGAGAAATCCATTACAAATTTCTAAATAAATGCTGTTTTTCTGTGTTTAAAATGAAGCTATGGAAATGAGTTTGCTTCTGCCTTGACGGTGAATATTTACCTAAATTCTAGCCAATTGTTCTATTTAGATATTAGAATACAAAATACCAATAAATTAAAATTCTGCTTTGTATTTTCATTACTATACTGTAGTAGTCTGCAGCAGAAGGCAAGCAGGAAGTGAACAAGCCACATTTCCTGATTACTTTTTCAGGTAATCTGGATGTGTTCGATAGCAGTTTCAAAATTTCTAGCCCTTGATGCCAAGTTTTGTTGCCATCATAGCTGTGGTGTGGGTGGAAAAGCCCAACCAGAAATGAGCAGATCTAACTGTAAGCTACTTTGCATGTTGTCAATTGACTATAAATTGCAGCAGTCATTGACTCAGTGGAACAAGCTACATAATTCAGGTAAGAGACTTGCATGTTGCTGTATCTAGCCACAGATTTTCACTGAATATCAATGTTCCATTTGCTAACAGTTTTTTCATAGCTTTTTAATGAATCCTGTTTAATGTGATCTCTTATTTAATAAGGTGTAAGAAAAAATGGAGCTTTAACATCTTTTTTTTTTCTTAATATCGTTCAGATATTTTCAGGTATTCATCACTCTTTAAACAGCACATCTTGTTTCCCTGGATTTTACTTTCACCTGAAGATTGGTGAGTCTCTAGTCTAAAGGGAAAATGTTCCTAACACTTTTGTGCAGGTGTGGAGGCAGCAGGTAACTGTTTTATGTAACCTTGTTACACAGCAGAAGTGTCACTACTAAGCAACAAATACTGCAAGTGTCTCTTCTTGAGGGGTTGTGTTGGTTTTGGTTTCTCCTCTGGAGTGATGTTGTGCCATAATGTTTTTTGCTGTGTAGCAGACTTTCCCTCAGTGTTTTTAAGTTGTTAGCAGCAGAAAGTTTTTAGGCAATAAGCCAGTCTTATAAGTAGAAAAGGGAAAGTTGACTGGCAGCTATTTTCATTTTATGAGGAGTGTATATTCACATATGTAAAAATATGTGAGTTTTTTGCATGCATAATAATGTGAAATGGATGTGTGTTCATGCTTTTAGCCTACCTACAGAAGTACCTGTTTAAGATGCATGGGACTCCCACTAATGCCTAACAGCTATAAATGAACTCTTCACTCACAGGATGTCTGTTGTGAAATCTATGTGCATTAGAAAAAGAGAAAACTCTGCATACTGAGGCATTTTCATAGAATGTTGTGAGAACAGGTCCATACCAAGTAAATATTCTCTGTGTAAATGTGGCAGGTATGAAGTCAGTAGAAAATATTACATTATTCCTATATCCTTGTGGTAGCTTTGTGTTATGGAGTTGTGATTGGAACATGTGAAGCTTTGCCAGATTTCTGTGAGTATGGAATCCAGCAGGTTCTGGTAATCCAGTTTAATGTTCAGGTGTGGTTACCATTTTAGAGGATGCAATAGAATCTGTGCTTTGGACAACAGTGTATGGATGTGCAAGTGGATGGTGAGTAAGAGCTTTTTGGATCAATTCTGTGTAGGCAAGTATTGGTTCCAATCTGTGAGGGTGGCTCATGGTGACTCTTTAAAAATTAGGTGGTTATTTAAAATGTATTTAAAGAAGCTGTTAGGTAACAGTCATTACATCCTCAGCAGTTAGGCTGATGTTTAGCTGTTGGAATAATGATATTGAGAAGGCACCATAATGCAGCTTCTTATAAACCACTGCAAGAGTATCTGTGTGACAAATGTGTCAGGGTGATGTGAGTGGTTAGAGCTGCTGTAATGCTGCTCTGAAGAGAGGGAGTGAAGGTAGGCCAGTCTGACTTACAGGCTTCCAGCAGGGCCCCAACAGCTGGGTGCCATCCCTTCTTTGTATTACTAGGACATGCCTTTTTCCTTTAATAAAGTGTTCATTTCATAAATGTGACATATTTAATATTTAATTTCTAGCAGTAGAATTGTTTTTAGTGTTTCATGTCTGTGTTTAATCTGCAGGTAGGTGGAAAAGGAATGTGAGGGCCCAAGGAGGAGTTAGATTTAGTGTACTCTCGTCTCTAAATCTTTGTATGAGTGGATGTCATACCTGAGAGATGTGGAATTTTAAGACTGAAATCCATTGTCTGCACAGGTTTTCCATTTTGTTAAAATGATATATTGAATGTAGCATCCCGTGAATAGAGAGAAAAATAATTTGTCTTTGAAGGCTCTTTGGTATGAATAGGGAGACTTTACTTAAATTGTAGATTTAGTTTTTTTCAGGGAGGGGAAGGGAGTGGGGAGAATGCCTCAGGTGTTGGCCTGCTTTCTTTGTTGTCTGTAGACATGTAAGTTTTGGTGGATTTGGAGCAAGCTAGACCTATGTGGAATACATGTAGGTAGAGTCTCTTAATTTCTACAGCTGAGGTGAAAGGAAGCTGCTTTCTCTTTCCTTTAGGAAACTTTAGTGGCTTTATATTAATATCTGTTGTGTATTAATTTAATCAGTGTGACTGACTTGCACTTTCTTGTACTTTTCAAATGGGATGTTGTCTTGTTCCACCTGATCTCCCAGCATCATTCTGAAATGTCACTAATGCATTGAAAAAGTCTCTTCTGGAAAATGTCAGCAAGGCCTAGAGTTGGTAAATCCAGGTGAGTTTTTGATACTGTTCAGTGTGAGTTGTTTAAAGCACTCTGTAATTATGTGTTTCCAGGCTAAATGCAGAACCTGATGGATGGCAAAAGCTACTGTAACCTCATCTGTGCTGAGGCACAGCACATCCAGCTGGCAAGGCCTTTCTGTGCAGACCCACTGGTCACGTTTCACGTGTACCCAGAAGCACCAAGCCAGGTCCCTTTGGCTGAAGATTTGGCATTCCTGCCTTTCATGTCAGAGCATCTCATCACAGACACCTTCTACAGCGAGCCCTGCCCCTTTCCCTACCAAGTGCCCCACTCCAGTCTGCACAAAAGTGAGTACTCCTACGGCTCAGCTTTCATCAGGAAGAGGAATGAGAGGGAAAGGCAGCGTGTTAAGTGTGTCAATGAAGGCTATGCCAAGCTGAGGCACCACCTGCCCAAGGAGTACTTGGAGAAACGGCTCAGCAAAGTGGAGACCCTGCGTGCTGCCATAAAATACATCAGGGACCTCCAGTCGGTGCTGTGCACTGACTCTGGGGTGGCAGGAAAAGGTGTCACAGAGCCAAACCAGGCTCCTAAAGGCACTAACAAACCAGCCCAGTTTTTGGAGACGATCTGAAGAGTTCCAAAGCCAGCCCAAGGTATCCTGGCAGGAATGTAGTAGCCGCTGTGTCAATGACGTGTGTGTCCTGGCACTCCTTGGGAGCAGATCGTGGCACACGTCACTGGCAGCCCACACAAGAGCTTGAACGTTGCACATAGTTACTACACTTAGATATGAGAGGGACAACTGGCAAAATCTCAGCTGAATGACTTAAGTTAATTCATGAAAATCAGAGCGAGTTTCTAAATTTGTCACCAACCTAAAAATGTGACACCTATATGTGTGAAGTTACTGTATGTATCATCACAACCTGCATGCTTTAAAATAAAATCTCTCTACTTATGGGACTGAGATTCTCATTTTCTGTCATGTTATTGGTTTAATCTCACATGCACTTTCTTAAAATATTCACTCTAATTGCCAGTATTTCTTTTAAAATGCCTTTTTAAAGGTTCCAAGGAGGGTTTGTTAGATGCCAGAAGAAAGGATAATTTAGTTTGAAAGAGAAAAATGGAGTAGGGTAGGAGCTCTTTGAAGCACCGTTACTGAACATAGGAAGAGCATAAAGTTTTGTCAGTGCTGCTCCATCATTTTCTTATTACTGAACATTTTAATCACATTGAAAACTTTTTGACATTGTGTAATTTCTGTTGAAAATTGGATTCTTGTACAGATGTGTCCTTAAAAATTACTAGTACTGCTTATAAAATACGCAGTATAAAGAGAGCTGGCAAGGTTTTAGCCATCAGCATAAAAATAAACTGCAATAAAAATTTTGTTTGGACTTTGACTGATAATGGTTGAGGTCTGGAGTGGTCTTCCCCAACCTCCCAGTCTGTTCCTCTGTACTGCTGATGGTTTCAGTCAAGTGTTACAAAATAGAACTGTATGAAGATGATGAAGAGAGTTTAGCTCATAACCAATAAAATGTCTTAACATTTCCTCTGTGTAAGGGAATCATTGATACTAAATAATTCTGCTGACAGCATGAGAGCTTGTAGGCTGTCTGTGCAGCAGAATGTACAAAAAATGGTTACAGACTTGCCAAGTGATGGATCCTCCCTAACTGCCCTTATCCCACCCTCTGACATTGGTTTTATAGCAGTGAATTGAAACATGCCTAATAAAAGTCAATTAAATATTCCAAGCACTTCCTCCCCCCAAAAAACCCCAAACAAAAACCAACAAATGTCAACTCTGTCTTTCTTTTGAGGAGAATGTGAACATTAGGGATCTCAGCAGAGATTAACAGCTACGTTTCTGCATTATAATATGACATATTTTTGATAGGCACTTTGTAAGAGAGAGGTAGAATTCATTAATCCTTCCCCCTTACTGTGAAAGGAGAAAGTTGTAAAGTGATTTGACCTTGGTTTGTCTCAGCTTCAACCTTTCTGTGCACATTTCAAACATGTTGACTTATCACACCCTGTGGTGGTGAGCTTTTTTTAAAATTTTCCTTAACCTGAACTATAACTTTGATGCTGGGTTTTACCCTGCAATCACTGAGGACACTGAGCTCTCTTAAAATTCCCTCCCTGTGGTGCAGGAGATCCATGGGGAATTGAAAATTGAGCAAATGTGTGGCAGTCAAATGGTCCTCTCTGAAGTCACGTTCTGCTGGGTTTTAACCAGTCAGGTCAGGGTGCCCAATCCTGGCAGTAACAGCTCTGGCAACCTCCATAGCAACTGGGAAACACTGGCAGCAAAAGGCTCCCTGTGTCCAACAGGAAAAAGGGTGGCATTTCTGCATTCAGACTAAATCCAAATGGTGTGTTGTTACCAATAGCAGGTAAGCCTGAAATACTGCTGTGCCAAAGTACTTGGAGCTATCCAGAAAAAGCAGCATAATTGCCTTTGTCAATGCACTGTTGTGTGTACAAACAGAGGTGTTAAAATGTGCTTTAATGTAGAAGTGATAGTTGCCTTTCTTTGCAATGTATTACTGATTCCATCTTGTTTTGGTTTATAACAGCAGTTTGTGCAGTCATGGAATAAATGGATATATTGTGCTGATTTCCTGACTTAAATATGAATTTTTTAGCAGTTAGTCCACTCTTCTTGCTGGGTTTACTGTGCTAGTTATCTGAAATTATCTATCTGTCTCCATAAAAAAGACTTTCACATCATATTGCTTAGATAAGATGCAAAATATCATCTAAACATGAGTGCTTAAACTGCATTTTGTAAAATAAATTAAGCATTTAAATTTTATAGGTTGTTGAGTTTCCATGCAAATGTTATCATAAGTGTTTCTAAGCAATATTTAAAAAGAAAAAGATTAATGGAAGCTTGTCTGCTACATCTTTTGAAATTACCAGAGATAGCATCACATCATTGATCTTACTGTGACAGCCTCTGAATAGTTATCACTTGTCACATCTGAGCATCTCATTCTTTCATGTTGCAAGCCATAATCCTACTGTTAATAAAACATGACAGGGCAGCTGAAACATCAAAATATTTCCTCTTAATACATCATTATAAATAAATAACAGGGAAATGTAATCTAACATCAAGTTCAAAACCTGTCACGTTTACTCATCTTGTCAACTTCAGCTGTAATTTCTGTCTCAGCTTGTAAAACAGGGAAGGTTTGGCTGGCTGTGCAAGACAGCTTTAAAGGAAGAATGTATGTGTAAGAAAAGAGAGCTGGAAACAAAGAGGGAAACAAATATTGAAAGCAGGTGAAAGTTATTATTTTTCTGGGATTTTCACAGCATTTATAGTTTTCTTGAGTGTTTCTGCCTTTTGTCCAGGTTAGGATTTGGGCGAGTGAAGATCACTGAAGTCAATCATGTGGGCTCATCTGGCCAACTGCCAGTCTGAATATTTTGAATTCAGTGTTTTTAGACAAAAATAAATGATTAACCAAAATTACAGGGTTCTTGAGGTACACTGGCAAGCACTTACTTATTGTCTCTTCCAGCAGGTCACAGCTGAGTTCTGCAGGCAGCAGCTTTTCCAAGTATGGCTCGTTTGGAGGGGTCCCTGCCCAGGGGTCACAGATATTGCAGTGTGAGGCCAGCTTTGGACAAGTTTTCATGTTCCACAGTCATGTCCACAGTAAATCCCTGCTGCAGGAGCTCTTTTGTTGTGTACCCTGCCTGGATCGCTGAGCGCCTCACCCCCCAGAGGTAAAATCAAGTTCCTGTTTAAGTCTGGGATTTGTTTTTTGTTTATCTAAAGGGATAAACGAGGCTGGTGTGTCAGATTAATAAATTAGCTGCTTGAACATCATTTGAGCTTTCCCACCCCTGCACTGGCAGTTTTTTAGATGTATTAACTAAAGTTATTTGCTACCTTGGAGATTATGAAGAGCAAAGCTTGAGTAAGCCTCCTATCAAAGAAACATGCCTTTAATATTATTGGGATAAATAAAAGCATCTTGCCTTAGCAGTCATCTTCCATGAAATGTTGCTAATGCTTTGTGACAAGGGATTATTTTCCCAGTTTTGAACTAGAAGCTGTCATCATCCAGCAGCTTTGTTGTTTCCTTCTCTGCTTTCCCTGAGTGCTGCAGTGTAAACCATCAGCTTCAACACTTTGGAGCGCACCTACGCTGTGCTCTGTGCTGCAGTGGATCTTTTCTCCTGATCTAAGGGTTGCATTGTCTTGCCAGGTAATGGCAAGGGGCACCAGCAAAGGGGCTGGTGCAAGTAATGCTGGCCCAGGATTCCAGCATGCTCCTGGCTCACTTCCTGTAAGCCCCAAAGCAAAGAATTCTGAGTAAAAGCAGGCACTGATGTGTTTTCCCCAAGATCAACGGATTATCCCAGCACAAGCAAGTTTTCTGTTTCTTCCCACACTATTGGGCTTGTGGGAGTGCTACAAAATGAGGTGGAGTGTTCCAGTTCTTAAACCTTACGAGATGATTTTTTTCCATGACCTGCAGAATCTGTTTCTTTCAGGGCTGACCCATTTTCTTTTCTTTGAGGTGCCAATGGATCAGCCACTGCCTCCCCTCCCCTGGCCCAGCATGGAAGAGCCTTGGGGAATTAGGAGGGACAGACAGCAATGTGCCTGTGCTGGCTAGAGGGGAACAAGATGGATTTTATTACCCTGGTAGAGTAAAAGAGGAGATAGAGGTGAGTGATGGCTGCTGTGTGGTAGCTGGGGACATGTGTAACAGGGAGCAGTCCTCACACACCTGAGTTCAGTGTAGCAGTTTTTTGTTTTTCAGTGTAGTAGTTTTTGGTTCAGTTTTTGATGATATTAGAGAACAGATCACCAGGACAGCAGATGCTTGAGCAGCCTTGTGCTGGTGCTGGACACTGAGGCAGCCCCAGTGCTGCTGCCAGCAGTGTAGAGGCTGCTGTTGTGTGTAGACACAGAACCATCAACAGCGCAGGAAAAGGGTTTGTGTTTTATATACACACGTCCAGCTTGAGTCAGCCGCAGACCAGGCTCAGGGTCTTTCCAGAAAGGGTAGTGAAAGCTTTAATTCATTGGTTTGTTAGCACTTCAAACTTAACACAAAAAGGAGCCTGTTCTTTCTCAAGAACAGGGAAGTACCTCATCTCATCGTTGATAGAAACCCTCTTGACAGGCCTTAATATAAAAGAAAATAAAAATTCCCAACAACCCCTCAAGAAGCAGAGCTAGTGTTGTATGTAATGAGGAAGGACTTGGGCGTGAGTGATGAACAGGTCTGAATGGTTTCAGTTGCACACACAGCATGGTTTGTGAAATATACTTGTCTATAGCTTTTTCTCTTGGGAAAGAAAATACAGATCCTAGTGGCAGTGAATCTGAGCATATGCTTCACTCATCTTGCTTTCAGGTGAGCCTCATGGAATTTTTTTGGGGCTGTCTCAGTGCTGAACTAACACCACACACCCTAGCTGCTGTTCAGGCTCTTTTTGCCCTAGTCATATAGGCACAGGATGGTCTCCCAGCAAAAGTTGCATTACCTGGCACATTATGGATGTTTTTCAGTGCAATTGTTATTTTGTTCCTGCTAACAGAGTGAAAGAGGCATGTTGCTGGTAGAGTTTGCCAAACCACTTGTGTCACGTGGAAGGCATCCAGTGTGTGTGCAAAAAACAGCACAGGGTGACATCCTGGAATATGTGAATGGGATGAAGCACTCCTTGCTCCCTGGAGACAGAGTGCTGGCACCCTGGGAGCCAGATAGGGCCAGGTATGGCCCAGGAACTGTCCTCAGAGGCATTGAGACAAGGGATCCCTTACGAGGTAAGAAAAGTGCTGCTCTCCTCTTCCTCTTGTTCCTCTGGCACACCAGTGAGATAAACTCCTGTCAGGGTGCTGCTGCCAGATAAACAACAGAGCACAGACTGCAGCCCAGTGTTGCTCCAGGCTTGCAGGAGCTGATGAATTTCTGTGTGTAACCTCACCAGTGTGACCCTAAGGAAGTTGTGACCCATAAAAATGTCATCATCTGTGTCTGTGAGTGTAGCTGGGACAAGGCTGTGGCTGCCATGTGCAGGACTGTGGCCTTTTCATGACAGATACAAGTGAGACAAATTCCAGGAAGCATTCATCTGAGCTTAAATGCTTACATTTGTACCAAATGGTACATCTGGGGGTGATTTTATCAGCCAGACGTAGGAGATTTCAGCAGCTCATTCATTTTTCCTGTGTCTGACAGTCAAGCTCCACTAACTTACCAAAATACTATTCTCAGAGCAGTACTGCTAAATTTGGCAGCAACAACAGAAATTACTGTCATCTTGTTCTGTTTTCTTGTTCATGTAAAACTGTACTGTTTTCTTGTTCCTCTGATGACAGATTGGGAGGAAAGATGCTGCCAGGCCTGTTGGTTTAGTGATGGTGTCCAGGCTGCCCACTCACCTCTGTGGTGAGGTGTTAGAGAGGGGCAAGAGTTGATCCTGCCTCTTGACAGGAGCAGAAAGTGCAAAAAGCTGCAAAGCCTGATCTGTGTTTGTGCACTGCCCAGCTACTTAAGGCCGCTTGCTGTTTCTCTTAACAGCCTCAGAAGATGAAGAAGTTACAGTCCAGTTCTGAAATGACAATCAAGTGAAAGTCCCCCGTGGTGTGGCTCTGTGGATCCCTCCCAGCCTGTGGGAGAGGATTGTGGAGATGATGCACATGCCCTTCACCAGCAGGGTGAAGCCCAGACCAAGCCAGGACTCTGACTCTTGCATTTTTCCCTGCAGTCCCAAGGCAGCCCTGATTCCTGTTTGTGCTGTGTAGCCTTGCCAAGCACTGCTTGCTCTGCTCTCCCTGCTGGCTACATTCCCACCACCACTGTGCTGGTGGAATCTGCTGCTCACCAGCCTGGGCAAGGTGCATCTGCTGCAGCCATCCCTGTGCTGCTGCCTGGTGGCCTCTTCCCTCCAGGTCTCTGGTCTTTCAGGACAAAGCTGAAGAGGCAGAGTGCAGCAGTGAGCTCTCTCCAGGCCTTCTAGAACTGAAAGGCACAAAACAAGGAGAAGCTGCAGCTGTGGCAATGTCTTCTTCCTCTTCTGGTTCAGAGAGGGACCTGAAGCCATCCCCCACTAAGGGTACTGTGGGGGACAGTGCTGTTAACACAGGCTCCAGCTGTCTTGAAAAGCCCAGGCCGAGGAATTCTGCAAGACCTGAAGGGGAATACTGGGAAAGAAGCCACCACAAGTCCCATTCCAGTAATTCAGGTACCTTCAAACAGCCCCACAGGGAAGCAGCTGTCAGAGGGAACAAAACCAAAAGTCTTCTGGGCAGGGCAATCACTTTGCCTGCAGGTTATTGGTATTAATACTATAAATTTGCATATCAGACTCTGGTACAATTCTTCCCCCTCCCCAGTCTTTCTGCTGCCTCATCTGGCTCTTTTGGACACTCTTCCCTTGGAAAACTACCAGAACAATTAATTTCATTTGGAAGCACAGATATTCCTCTCTGTTTTCTGTCATTTTCCTATGCCTTTTATGATGCTAACATCTTCATTAACCTGCATAGCTCACCCATTCAGAATAACCTGAAAGAATTAATTTCAGACCTAAGGTGCATTTTTCTTTCTTCTGAAATGAATGTTTCTCCATTTCAGTTCTGGTTTCACTCTTAGACACAATTTTACTCCTTCCCAGGACCTGGAAGGTGTACAAAGGGCCAGCTGGAATCCAAAGCCATCTCCACTGGGTACGTGTCCAGTGTGGCCCCAGCTCATCAGAGTGCAATGTTTGAAACCACTGAGCAGACTCTCAGAGGGCAACTCACACTGAAAACAATCCTAAGAGACCAAGATTTCAAGCCATCATTGAGGGTAAGATAGTCTGTATTAATTCTGTAGTTATGTAAGCAGAAGGTTTGTTTGAATGGAAGAAACATTCTTAAAAATGGTTTGGAACTTGGCAAGAAAAAGACATTGTTTGTAACTGCTTCCTGAGGCCATCCACCAGTTTTGTGACAGGGAGGAAAGTTGTCCACTAATGAAACCAAACCAAAAATCCCCAAGCCTTTAGGAAGGGCTGGAGCTACGTGGTAAAGTGGAAACAACTGTCAGTGTGAGCATTCAATAATGCAGATTTCAATTCAGAAATCTGCCAAATGCCCATTGACACCTACCCAAAGAAGTCCTGTGTTAAATCCATGGAAAGGTGCTGAGCTCTGCCTATCAAATTGTGATAGTCACAATTTCTGTCTCTTAGAGATAAAAGCAGATTCTTTGGTAAACAGTCTTTGCTGAGTCTCTTCTCTCCCTCAGTGGAGGCAAGCAGTTTAACCAGCAGATTCCTGCTGTGAAGCTGGGAGATTCAGAGTAAGCAAACTGTGACACAGCTAGGAACAGCACCATTACCCTGGTTTTTAGGCCTGGTTTCCCTCATGTTTTAGAAAAATTGAAAAAAAAAATCAGAACATGAATGCTAAAAAAAGCAAACTGAGAAATATGGAAGAAAAAAGTTGTTACAGGAAGAAGGGGAAGATGAAAGAGAATGTCAGGATGAACAGAAACAGTGCTCTGCACAAGAGCATCAGGGTGGAATGAATATATTATATTCGTGAAATCAAATATTAGCTTCTCTGTACCTTCATTCTCTTGCTACTGTGAGCTGACTGCAAAGTAAAACTTCAAATGTTCTAAACTTGCATGGTTAGAGATGAATCCATTAATAACATGTCTTGGTGAACAGAGAATATACAGGAATACATCTTGTATTCTCACAACTGTACTCATTCATTTTAAGCAGATGCCAACTTATCAACTGTATGGTTCCTACTTTCTATTTCTGTTCTACTTTATTGGTTAAATAATCATAGTTACATAACCACACACCTTTGTAATTGATTTCCTAGGAATTTTCAGGCCAGTGTGGAGCTCCAGGCAGGCATGCTCAATGTAAGCAGTGTCAGAGCTGTGCACTGAAGTGACATGAGTTGCCTTTTGGTAAAACTAATAAGAAAGCAGAATTGTTTCATTCCAGCCCCAAAGCAGCAGCATGAATCACAGCAGTGGATGCAATGTGGCAATACAGGGTATAATGACAGAATTTCATTCCTGTAAATCAACCCCTTGGGGTTTTTAGACCCACAAGATCCATCACATGCTGCAGACTGCATCAGAAGTGGTTTGCAGCACACAAGTGGAGTGGGAGGACAGGCTTCCCAGAGGTACTCTCTGGGAGGCTGATGTCCCCTCACTGCTTTTTTTAGACCAGACTTCTGAAGGATTTGTTTTCTGTCTTCCAGGAAGGCTTTGCAGCATCAGAACAAAGATACAAAGCAGCATCTGATGATAAATGTGAAGCCACTTGTGTTGGAGATGACAAACCTGATGTTACAGACCCTGTCAGAGCTCACTTGCAGCAAAGCAGAGAGAGACATGATCAACCAGAATTCAGTACATGTACAACTGATCAAGTTCAGGGGCTGAAATTTCAGGTAAACTGTTTCTACTCTATCAGTGTTATATTTTTTAAACAAATTAAGTTCTGCTTCAGGTACAGTCTCAGTAGAATATCTTTATGGATGACTATATAATTTTAATAAGTGAGAAACTCTGCTGTCACCCACATTAAACTTGAGCATCCTCATTCTTTATTCCAGAGTGCTACAGTAAATTCCTAACTATTTGGACTTGACTTTACAACTCTGGAGAGATCAGATGAGCTAGTAGGAGCACTAAAAGCCTGAACAGATGCACACCAAGAATCCAATAAACCTCCCATTTGTCTACAGCTCTCTGGAGTGAGCCACAGAAATTCATCAAAGCAGTTTCTGTTTGTAGAAAGCCAGGAAGAAGGGAGAAAAAATACAACCTGACAGCTGAAAGATTTTTTTGGGATTAAAGCACAAGCAAAAGTAGCCAGAGGCTAAAGGACCTGCTACTGTAGATACAAACAACAAAATGATTAGCATTCAAGCCACTGATTTTTGTATTCTGATGAAAATGAATGGAAACCTTAATAGTATCAGCTACAGAAAGATGACAGATCACATCACTAATTCTAAACATGGAATCTGGTCCTTTGGCAAAGCTAAGCATCCAGGGAGTTTAGTAAGTGGGACTGCTCGTGTTTAAAGCATATGAACTTGGCCATAAGCTGCAGTGTGCAGTTGTTCAGCAGCAAATTGGATAATTTAGGTTACCCCACAGCCCTCAGAAAAGAGGTTTAGTGTAGTCTGCAAAGAGACAGGACCTGAATCAATAGTTCATGTGCCTAGACTGAACACCTGACACATATTTCAGCACGTTTCTGAGTTGGGGTTCTAGGTAGGGAATTTAATTTGCATTTCATTTCTTTACCAGACTAGCAAAAGTACAGACAGGAGAGTGGCTTGTGAGCCAGCTGCTCCAAAATCAATGCCAGCTTACAGAAGCCAATGTACACACGCATATTCACACCACATGGATCATGGTCTCTGGTCAACACTGTGACATGGGGGTTCTCTCTGAGGGTGATACAAAAGAAGCTGTCATTACAAAGGCTTGATCATATATTTTATTTCACTGATTGTATCTTTAACTGTTTGGAGCAGAAGAATCTGGAGTTACACAGTCACATAATTGGATTTAAAAGGCACACAATGTACAAATATTTATAAAAATCAATGTACAAAGTGGGCTGCATATAATTGCATTAACTAGAAAACAAATATACAGGCCATAAAAATGGAGTCCCAGAGAGGAAGCTACTGCTAAAGTGCTAACAAGAAAAAGATATTTATAGCTCATTACACACATTAAAAAGAGCCTCATGTTTTATTCCTGCCATTGCCAGGAAACAACAAATATCACAGGACAAAAGTTAAATCAATACTTTGTCCTGCATTGACATCTACTACGTGGGTTTGTTCCACCATGTCTTCTGAGATTGCTGTGACAGAATAGATGCCAGGAGAAACTTCAATGTAGAAATCTTTGGAATGTCTTCTGGGCTTTAAGGAAAAAACCCAAAAAGTTATTGGTTAGTTATCTTAGATTTCCCCAAAAAAAATTAATTTGTGTTTGGGTAAAAAAATTACATTTCAGCTGCTATATAAATATACTAAAATTTTTCTCAATATATGGAAGGCAGTGCAAGCAAAACCTTAAAATGTTTCTGTCAGTACAAAAATTAGCAAGTGCCATACTCAAAGTATTCCAGCTAATGTTTCAATTGGTGGAAATAATCACTGTGCTGTAATTTACATCTTACAAAACTGAAATTTACCAACCTAGACAGTTCTGAACATAAACCTGGGAATTCCTGTTCCCTACGCCAAAGGTGCTCTCACTAATTAATAGTGTGGCACAGATTCAGGGTTTCTCATCTTTTCTGGCTTGGAAGTTCCTGAAATTGATTTGCTGAGGTGTTAAGCTTTGAAAAATAAAACCAGTTTTCTTCTCCTTGAGAAACAGGAGTCTTCAGAGCCTGTGGGAGGGCCAAGTACAAGAAACAATTTGGTTTCCAACTAATTGTGCAAGTCTCTGTATGGCCATTTGACTGCCTATACATATATTATGATTGTGAATCTGCTGTGCCATCAAGGTCTCCAGATCTGTCACAATTTGTAACCAGCTGGATTCAAAATGATAAAAGAAATGCTAGCAAATACCTCCACTTAAAACCAAAGTATTCTATACACTTACCCTTTGCTGGCAAGTTTGAACTTGGCTGGGTTCTACAGTACCTTCAGTCTCCTGGAAAGAAAAAGAGAATTATTTTCTAATAATCCAGCACACAGTGCAAATCCTGGCTAAGAAAGGGGAAGCTTTAGGTGCACAGAAGGATGGATAGGACACTGATAGGTGCCACAAGAAGTGACTCTGCCTTCCCCCAGCCCAACACAGGCTTGGATCAGTCCAGGTGTTTTTATGCCACCTTTCATCAAAACCAGAAGTACCTACTTACCTCTTCCTCTGTGGGATCCATCTTTCTTTCTACTGACTTGCCATGGTACTTGCAGAAGTGTCTGATTTCATTCTCTTTGCACTTGTTGGTTGCCATGGACCTGTAGCACTTCTGGACAGCAAGGGAAACAGAAAATATCATGTGGGAGGTATCAAACCATACTTGCAGCCACTGCAGATTTACAATTGAAAGTAGAACTACACAAATACTGATGCTGTGTACTAAATGGCTGGTTTGTTCTCTGTGGGGGTGAAAACAAAGCCTGTACCTCCAAAGGCCACCTGCCTCTGCTGCAGGACTCTCTCAGGCAGGCCTGACTTTGTGTTCCTAACACAATATGTTATTGGAATTAAATACCAACAATATGTAGGGCAGGGACTCTGATCAAGAAAAGCCCTGGTGGAAGAAGGCATAGTTTATGGGTCCTTCAGAGGACATGTATGCAAGCCAGGTGCTCTGCAAGCCAGTCAGTGAAGGTGGGTTCTGCAGGCCATGTGCAGCAGCAGTGCTCTAAAAGCAGAATATGTTAATATTGAAAAATAAATCAGTAAAGAAGCTGAAGTGTCTTCAAGGCTGGTACCATTTCCACAGCAGTTTTGGGAAGTGTATTAAGCACACAGCAGCCTTCATCTGGTTGCACTGCAGATGTGCTGGCATCTTCTACATGGCAAGTTAAACTCTTGAGTACAGTTCTGCTGCCATCTGTTGTCAGCACAGAACTCCTCCCAAGGTTACTTTTTTGACCACAGAGGCCAAAAAGATCCAAAATATCTCTTATTTCACGGGTTTTTCTCTTGTCCCTGACTGTCAAGACTAAATGTTAGAAAATTACAGCAAATAGAAATCCTTATTTCCAAATCTACTGCTGTGTTTTATTCCCTGAGCTTGTGCACAAATCAACAGATCTGGTTGCTTGTAGTGCAGTTTTTGTGAAGCTACAAAATATATCAGATTCTCTGACCTGGTGCATAATGCTTCGCAGAGCATCTCTTTTACATGATGGCACAGAGCAAAGAAATGAAATCCAACTTTTGGTGAGAAATGGGTAAATTTTGATCCCTTAGCAACCCCAAACATCTCATCTTAAACTATAGATTTAATTGCTTGCATTCAAGTGCCTAAATTATTGTGTTCAGCTGTGGATTTTTATTTGCACTTTGTAAAATTTACCCATGAACTTATGGTCTGACATTTCCCCCCTTTTATGACTCTTCTTCTCTACAGAGATGACTGAAGCAATACCTTCTTGGCTGATGCTTAAATGTCATGGAAGTCATCCATTGCTTGTTCCAATTTTAATATTCTTAACAAGGCACAAGATAGACCCAAAGAATAATTTAGGTTGGAAGACACCCGTAGCATCATAGAGTCCAACTGCAAACCTAGCACTGCCAAGTCACTGGTAAGGATGAGCCCCACTACACTTTGTTTTGTCTTCTGTAAAACTCTGTTCTGCCCCAGTTGTTCTAGGATCAACTGCTTACTGTGTATGTAGTGTTTTGAAATTATAAAGGAGTTGCTTGAGAGCTAATTGCTTGGTGTGCTGGAGTACTGTTTTCTCTAATTTAATTGCAGACTTGGGCTCTGTATTAGCCCTGCAGGCAGTGAGCTCCCTGCTGAGTTGGGATAACAGATCCCTAGCGGCACAAACTGAATGGAATCCTCAGAGTTCAGTGCAGGAGCTGGGCTGCAGGGCTGTGCTCACAGGGAGGGGCTGGCAGAGGGGTGGCTCCAGTCTGCCCCTGTCACCCAGCAGAGCAGGGACACCTGCCAGCCAGAGCACAGTGGAGCTGAGCACCTGCACACAAACCTCTCCATTTCTGCTCAGCACACACAGAGCTGAGCCCATGCTCCCTCCCAAATCCAGTTTGGCCTGGTTTTGTCTGGGATACAGCAAGTTTTCCTCCTAGCAGTTGGCAGAATGCTGTGTTTTGGAGTTAGCAGAGTACAGTGTCGATAACAAAGTGGTGTTTTGGTTATTGCTGAGCAGTGCTCACCCTAAGCCAAGGGCTGCTCTCATGCTCTGCCAGTGGGGAGCTGCACAAAAAGCTGGGAGGCAGCAGGGCTGTGACAGCTGAGCCAAGCTAGCCAAAGGGAAATTCCATACCATAGAATGTCATGTATATAAACAGGGAGAGTTGTCTGACTGCTGCCTGGGCACTGGTCAGTGAGTGGTGATCAACTCTATTGTGCACTACTTGTTTTTCCTGGGGTTTATTTCCCTCTCCCTTTTTCATCACAATTATTACTGTCATTACCATTGGTATTATCATATTTTACTTTGTTTCAATGAATAAACTGTTCTTATTTCAACCCACGAGTTTTGTTTTCTCCAGAGTCTCCTCCCCATCCTGCCAGGGGAGGGGAGCAGGGAGGGAGTGAGCTGTATTGTACTTAGTTGCTGGTGGAATCAAATCACAACAGCAACACTAAATTCAAAACAAACACAGGACACAAAGCATCTCTGCACTCGAGATTCCAACTCTCCCTTATTTCCAGCGCCCAGAACAGGGTATCTATCAGCCAGCAGGAGTGGCTCACGTTCCCCTGATAACAACACCAGGTCACTAGGTCACAAGGCCGTTTCCCAGCAGAGATACTTTGGAGCACTGGAAACATTCCATACCTTGTGACACAATGTATTTTGTGATGCCACCTGACATTACTGTCTCTCTAACCATACCAAGAAATGGAGAAACCTTTTGCTAAAATCTGTACCAGGCTACTTATACTGTCTATAGAAAATGCAGATAGTGGTGTTTATCAGCCAGGGTGGAAACAGGACAACACCGCTGAGCTGTGCCCTGCCATGGTGCTCAATGCCCCAAACCTCCTCATCTCGGCCGGCACCCCGGGCTCCCTGCCGAGCCCCTGCCATGCCACGAGCAAACCTGAAGCCCGATTTCTGCAGTACAGGCAGCAAGGCCTCCGGCAGGCACATCCCGAGCGTTCTCCTTTGGGCGGCTCCGGGGCTGGCCCTCACCTCGCATTCCTTTGAGACTCCTCTCATCAAATTCACAATCGAAGCGAACGCTGCATTGAGGCGTTCCCGGTCCTGGTCCTGCAACGAGAGACATTCCCGCTCACCCAGCGTGCCGCCGGTCGCTTAGAGCCACAGGGCGGAGGGCACGGAGCCGCAGAGCCCTCGGGGGCACCGGGCGGCCCGTACGGAGCTGCATCTCCGTGATCTCCGTGATCTCCCGGTCTCTGTCTGCATCTGTGTGTGTGCGTGTCCCGAGTGCGCGCACGGCACTGACCAGGACCGGGCCTGGGCGCGGGGCCGCGCCCGCCGCGCGCCGCCGCGCCCGCTCCAGCACCTCGCGCGCCACCGCCATCCCGCCCAGCGCCGCCGCCGCACTGCGCACTCGCCGCCCCGCCCTCAGCCCTCCCCGGCCCCGCCTTCAGCCCCGCCCGGTGGGCACGGGGCGGCCCTGCCGGCATGTGGCCCCGTGGAGGGTTCGGGGTGCTTTGCTTGTGCCTCGGGGCACTTTGTTTGTCCCTCACGCTCACTCCCTGCCCTGCGGTAACGCAGGAGAGGCGCACCCGGGCAGGCTTTCCCGGAGAGGGTCAGCGAGGTGGCCCCGGATGCTGCCCCCTGGATGTCGCCGCCGTGCGACAGCGGGGCAGAGCCCACAAAAGCCGGAGCCCCGCCGTGCCCCCAGTCTCTACAGGGAAGCGGCGCTCCCCGATGGCTTTTGGTTAAAGTTGCGCGGTATGAGCTCCCGGTGCCGGTAGGGGGCGATGGCCGGCCGAGGGACGCGGTGCGGGTCACGGCCGGGCTGCACAGCCCCGGCATCACTGCCGAGGCAAAGCCCGCTGGCCGGGCGGTGAGGGAGCCGCAGCGCTGGGCCCCGCCAGCAGCACTGCCGAGCAAACCGGCCCTGTCCCCGGAGCAGCACTGCCGAGCAAACCGGCCCTGTCCCCGCAGCAGCACTGCCGAACAAACCGGCCCTGTCCCCGCAGCAGCACTGCCGAATAAGCCGGCCCTGTTCCCGGAGCTGGGTCTGTCCCAGCAGGGCAGCGCCAGGCTCCGGTCACCGCTCGGAGTTACCGGAGAGGCTCGGGAAGTGGCTGTGGCTGCGTGGGAGCAGAGCCACTTGGAGCCTTCGCTATCCTCGTGTGCACCGTGGTGACAGTAGTAAGGAAAAATAAGCATAAACAAAATAAGCATAAATCTTTCTTTAAGTCCCATATGGCCCAGGTTAACATGAGGCCCCGATCCTTCAAGTCCTTCATTCTTGTTGAGAGCTTTGCTAGCTGTAATCTCTCTGACAAGCAAGAAAAATAATCCCCTCCTAGTTTACATTTTATTGTCATCTCCCAGTTGCTTAAGCAGAGCAGCAGCCAGCCCCCGCAGTAAACAAACCCTTCACAGGCTGCTTGCTCATTAAGACATTGAAAGCCCCCATTCACTGCTCAAATCCAGCTTAATTTTAAGTTTGGTCTCCTGTACTCAAAAGAAAATTTCGGCAAGCTGCTGGAGTGCTTGAGGTCTGGGGAACTGAATGCAACATAAAGTGGGGAGGGGAGAAAAATAATATTTGATAAAAGCAATGTTAGTGTGTTTGATGTGGTGGAGAAGCAGCCAGAACAGCCTGCTTCCTGCTTAATTGGAAGTTGAACGTCCTTGCATCATGCCTTGTTAGCAATGGTCTCCTGGAGAGGTGAGTGGGTTTGCTATGTTGCTGCTCTTGTGAAATAGACTTGGAAAGGCCCTCCTATGTCGTTTTCATAACATGCAGAGAAAACTGATCATTTTTTTCTTCCTGACAGGTACTTGCAGCAGTAGCTCGTTGTTCAGGAGGTAAATTATTTCTGTTGTGTTGAAATTTAAACTCCCACTATTTTTTGATGTTTGATGACACAGTACTCCTTTGCAGCTGAGTAAATACATCTGTCCCAAGAAGGCTGACAGCTGAAATAGCTTTTGCTTTGAAACACACATTCACATCAGAATCCAGATGAGAGTTACCCTTATTTCCTGTACATTCATTCTTTTGAAATATAATGATGGTTTGTGAAATGCTGGGCATTTCCACCAGATTCCTTGTTGTGTGGGTTGATGGATCAGAATATCTGAAGACAATGTATTTCATTTTGCTGGTGAGGTGGCAAAAGCCAGGAATAGTTTATCCTGAGCACAATGGATTTCCTTTTACTGGTGAGGTGGCAAAAGCCAGGAATAGTTTATTCAGAACACTTGGTTCTGGGCTCAGGGAAGCATCCTTGAGTAGGAAACCTCATAAGCGTTTGTCTGATTGTATTTTCTTCCCTTTAAGTCAAAGGAAAGAAAGTCAGAAAGTGCTTAAAAGTCCTAGAAATGTGTAGTGCTGGAATTTGTATTTCAAATTGCAGAATACATTCTACTCTTTATTTTTCTTCTGTACCTAGTATCATGTGGTTAATCTGTTGTGAAGTGACTTGTCTTATCAATGCCTACATAACACTTCAGGATCTAGGAGCAGTCTCTGTATTTCGCAATACTCATGGTCCTGCTAAGAGCTAGCATCCTGCCTCTTCTGTATTATTTTATATCAACAGTTTTGGGTTGGTTTCTCATCTGCCAAACCATCGGAAGCCGTGGACACGTGTGCCAGGGAGGTGGCCCGCACAGACAATGCCATGCAGGGGCTTTCTCCCCCCAGGTACGCGATGCCCTGGGGAGCCCTGCCCAGCGAGCGGGACACATCGGACTGCGCTGCGCAGGGAGCTGAGCGTTCCACACTGCTGCCAGGAGCTGCTCCGGGGGCTGCATCGGAACCCGTGCACCCGGCACGAATAGTTCAGAGTCACGCCGCTCCTCCCCGGGCCTCCACAGGTGCTGTGAGTGCTCGTAAGGCGCTCCGGGAGCTCCCCGGCTGGGAGCCATCGGCCCCGCGCCCGGCGCAGGAAGCGCGCCCCCCGCACTCCTCCTTCCTTCCGCTCTGCCCCGCAAGCGCCGCTGCCCGAGAGGAGCCCAGAGCTCGGGGGGCTTGAAATAAAACCGAGCGCTATCGCCCCTCCGGGCTAGAGCGAGGGGCAAGGCTGTCAGTCGGGGGGGCTCGGTCCTCTCATTTTCCTGTGCCCATCGCATCTCCCCGCGGACCAGCCGGCCCTGCCCAGCTGCTCCCCTCCCTCCCCCTGTCCGGGACCCGGGTTTGGGGCTGGGGGAGGCGGTGCCCACCCCTCCGCGGGGCCGGCGGGAGCGGTGGCTCGGCAGCCCGGGCCGGGCTGCGCTGCGCTGCGCTGGGGGAGCAGGTTTCTTTGTTGGCTGTCGGGTGACTGGTTCCTATTAATCTCCCGCACTGGTCGTGGCCGTCTCCACTTCCTGCCTTTGCATACTTTTCTCTCCCTCGATCTCAGCCCCTTCCCACCCCCCTCCCTCCCTCCCCCCTTTCTTTCCCTCTTCCCAGCTTCCCCAAAAAAGCTACAACCGCCCGGGCTGCGGGACGGGGGCTGCAGGCGGCCGGCGGAGGGAGCGCATCCCTGCGCACCTCGGTAAGGGCCGGGGCGGCGCGCTGCCGGGCGGTGGTCGCCTGCGGGGACCCGGGCAGGGGAGCGGGACCGGGGGGAGAAGCGATTGCTCGTGCTCCGGGTGGTCGTCCCTGCGCGCCGGGAGCTCCCCGCCAGCGGGGCGGGCCGGGGATGCGCGGCGGCGGCGGGGACGCGGCGGGGACTCGCCGGGAGCTGCGGCACCCGCAGCGCGGAGCCCCCGCGGCAGCGGAGCCGCCGGAGGCCGTGCGGGTGCGGGCCGGCCCCACGATCCCTGCGGGACCCTGCCCTGCCCTGCCCCGGGGAGCGCACACGGGCGGGGGTCCCTGCGCACGGGCGGAGCGGGGACTCGGGGCTCCCGCGCCGGTGCCACCGCCGTGCCTCGCGGGACGCTGCCTTTGGCGGGGGTGGCGAGGGCAGAGCCCACCGAGGGACAGAGCCCGCGGGACCGCTTCGGCCGGAGCGGGGTGACTCCGATCCGGCCGGGGTGCCAGCGCGCCCAGCGTGGGGCTCTGAGCCGGGGAGACGGGAGCTGCGGCGCTTCCCTTCCAATGCCCGCTCGCATCGTCCGGCCGGCTGCGGTGCTTGCGTGAGTGCTGAAAAGCGTAGAGGAGCCACCTGGACTCCGGCGGAAGACTTTAGGATCCCAGGACAGATTTGGCTGAAGAGCTAAGGGAGTTGTGCCGCAGTTCACTTGGTGGGAAAATCAGATGTCCTCCTCTTGGCTTGGTACCAAAAGTTTGCGTTACTAAGGTCACTGCAATGAAAGAGTAGCGGTTACATATGAGAGAGCCTTCTTGTGTTTACTCCAGTTTTATCACTCAAATGTACTTCGAATTTAGTAGTCAAGCTGAATGAAGCTGGGTGCATAGTATTACTGCATGGAGTATGTCAGTAGTAGTGTTTTCTACACCTTGTGCTGACTTGGGGAATAGGATTCCTTTCATTTTTATGCCGGCTAGTCAGACTTAACTTCAGGCATATATTAAATGATCCAAAAAATAGGAGCAATCAAAACCCATGGAAGATGAAGGACGAAACTGCTAGTTGTAGTCCGGTTTTTGGTGACAGGATGAATTGAAGTGAGGCTGATTTGCCTTTAAGACTTAAGAATGTTTTGTTTATACATGATTAATTTATTGTTGGTGGATGAAAATTTCCATATAGTGGAAGGGTAAGTTAACAGGGCAAAAGTAGGAGTATCATGCACTTAAGATGAGGTTTGAGGAAATAATTTATGTTTTAGGAGCACTAAAATTTAACTTTCATTGTGGTGATCAGGTTATGCACGTGACATAGTGGAAATCTGTCCCAAGTTGACATGTAAGAGTAAGATTTATGGATTTGACCATTCATTTCCCTCTTTAAGATCAGTTATTTAAAATAAAACTGCAACACATTTATAGCAATGACGATGTCTTTATTAAGTTACCCAGGAGTATAGTCAAGCACCTTTTAAAATTAACTACTGTCTGTGCACTGTTAAGGGTGACAAGACTGACATGG